ATAAGCGAACAAGGGGACACAGGTGGAGACTGAGTACCCAAATGAGCCAAAGGGAAGTTAGAAAGACTTTTTCAGTGTCAGAGTAGTTAACAAGTGGAATGCATTCGGCAGTGATGTGGTGGAGGCTGACTCCATGCAAAGTTTCAAATGTAGATATGATAGACCCCATAAGGCTCAGGTATCTGTATACCAGTTGATTGACGGTTGAGAGGCGGGACCAAAGAGTCAGAGCTCAACCCCTGCAAAGCACAATTAGGTGAGTACAATAAGGTCAATACACACACACACTCAGGGGTCTGGTGGCTGAGTGGACAGCACTCTGGATTCGTAGACCTAGGGACTGGGAATCGGTCACCGGCGATAACAGAAACAAATAGGCAGAGTTTCTTTCACCCTGATGTGCCTGTTACTTAACAGTAAATAGGTATCATGGACTTAGACAGGTGCTACGGGCTGCTTCCTGGGTGTATGTGTGTGTGTGTGTTTGTGTGTGTTTATGTTTGTTTGTGTGTGTGTGTGTGTATTCACCTAGTTGTGTTTGCGGGGGTTGAGCTTTGCTCTTTCGGCCCGCCTCTCAACTGTCAATCAACTGTTTACTAACTACATTTTTTTTCCATACCACACACACACACACACACACCAGGAAGCAGCCCGTGACAGCTGACTAACTCTCAGGTACCTATTTACTGCTAGGTAACAGGGGCATTAAGGGTGAAAGAAACTTTGCCCATTTATTTCTGCCTCGTGCGAGAATCGAACCCGCGCCACAGAATTACGAGTCCTGCGCGCTATCCACCAGGCTACGAGGCCCCCTGTGTGTGTGTGTGTGTGTGTGTGTGTGTGTGTGTGTGTGTGTGTGTGTGTGTGTACTCTCCTATTTGTTTTCACCTATTTGTGTCTGCAGAATCGAGCAGTGACTCTTGGATCCCGCCTTTCGAGCATCGGTTGTTTACAGATATGACTATGCTCCTATTTCTCTCTCATACCTAGTTTTAAAATTATAAATAGTATTCTTCTAGAACCTGTTCCTGAAATGCATTCCATTTTCCCACTACTCTCACGTTAAAAGAAAGCTTCCTAACATCCCTGTGACTCATCTGACTTTCTAGTTTCCACATATGTCCCCTCGTTCTGTTATTATTCCGTCTGAACATTTCGTCTATGTCCACTCTGTCAATCCCCCTGAGTATTTTATGCGTTCCTATCATGATCCCCCCACTCTCCCATCTCCTCATACCCTTCCCTCGTAACTCTGGGACGAGTCTCGTTGCAACCTCTGAACCTTTTCCAGTTTCCTTATATGCTTCTTCAGATGGGGACTCCATGTTAGTGTAAAGCACCCTAAATGCCTCCTTACTTAGGTTTCTGAATGATGTTCTAACTTTTGCCAGTGTAGAGTATGCTGCTGTCGGTATCCTATTTATTTGTGTTTCAGGAGATAGATTAGGTGTTACGTCAACGCCCAGATCTCTTTCTCGCCTCGTCAAAGGTAGGCAGTTCCCCTTCATTGTGTACTGTCCCTTTGGTCTCCAATCACCTAGTCCCGTTTCCATAACTTTACATTTGCTCGTGTTGAACTCCAGTAGCCATTTCTCTGACCATCTCTGCAACCTGTTCAGGTCCTCTTGGAGGATCCTTCAATCCTCATGTGTCACAACTCTTCTCATCAACTTTGCGTCATCCGCGAACATCGACATGTAGGTCTCTACTCCTGTAAACATGTCGTTAACATATACTAGAAATAGAATTGGTGTGTGTTTGTGTGTGTGTGTGTGTGTGTGTGTGTGTGTGTGTGTGTGTGTGTGTGTGTGTGTGTGTGTGTGTGTGTGTGTGTGTGTGTGTGTGTGTGTGTGTGTGTGTGTGTGTGTGTGTGTGTGGAATTAAATTAAAATCGGTAGATTGTTTGACAGTTGAGAGACGGGCCGAAAGAGCCAGAGCTTTATCCCGGCATGCACAAATCGATGACTTCAACAAGGTGAATACTCACACACCTTCGCGCGCACACACACACTGAGAAAGGATCCTACTAATGAGAAAGAAATGGAATTTCAAGGAGATGGTTATCTCGGGATGCGTGGGGTTCAGAGACTACATAACAGGTAGTCTAAATAATTCTCATCATTATAAGTAAATTTAAATTCTTTTATACGAGGCTTAACAAGATTAACAATAATATCAGGTGATATCATTAGTAGGCCTACCATTTGGCCTACTAATGATCCATGTATTACCTCTGCCTGCACATATAATTGTCATTCTTGTTAAGCTGAGTATAAGAATGTAAATTTACCGTTAATAATGATTATTATTTACAGACTTTTGGAATGGCAATGGGGAATCCTTTATCGCCATTGCTTTCAAACTTGTACGTGGAATTCTTCGAAAAGAAATTTGTTTAAAAAATTACCCCTGGAATTATTTCATGGTTGAGAAATGTTCATGATATTTGGTGTATGTGGCCTACAAATGAAAATTCAGACGAATTTGTAGCTAAACTTAATGATTAAGTCACCTCCATAAAATTTACTACCCAGACTTAAATTGATAAATGTTTGCCATTGTTAGATATTCTTATTCAGAGCGAAGATTTTTCTCTGAAATTCAGTGTTAGCAGAAAGCCTTCGAATAATTTATCTTATGTTCATTATTTTTCTGGGCAAAGATACAATGTGAAACATTCATTTTTTTCCTGTATGTATCTGAGAGCTCTTCAGGTTGTTAGTCCAGAATTCTTGGATGATGAGTTTAAGAATATTGATTCTATTAGTCTTCGTTTTGTTATCCGAGTTTTTGGAATTTTGCCAAAGCAAAGCATGTCGCACATATTATAATAATAAATTCACTGAGAAAATTCCCCACCAAAAATGTGTTATGTTTACCATATTTTATGTCAATACCATATCAAAGTCACACTTGAGGCGTTGGAAGATGAACCTGGCTACTCTAGGGGTATCTTGTTTCAATTAGCATAGAATTAGCAATTAGCAATTCAATTAGCAATTAGCATCTCTGTAGGGTAAGGAAGAACTCTGAAGAACTCTGTAGGGTAAGGCAGGTCCTAGTCAATAACGGCTTCTCCAATGGTTTCATCGAAGACATCATAAGAAGGAAAGTGAAAAGCCATGCAACCTCCGAAGAGACAACTAACACAACACCTATACCCCCTATTAGACTATTTTACAGGAACTTCTTTTCCACAGCTCATAAAACAGAGGAAAGGGTCCTGAAAGATATTGTTAATAGAAACGTTATCCCTACAGACAAAAATCAGAGGATACAACTGACGATTTACTATAAAACCAGAAAAACGGCCAGCCTACTCATGAGAAACTCTCCAGACACAAAACAGAACGCTTTAAAAGAGACTAACGTCGTCTATGCCTTCAAATGCCCACTTGGGGACTGTAAGCTCCAAAAAACCCAGTATATAGGCAAGACAACAACATCTCTTTCTAGGCGTTTAACGATGCATAAGCAACAGGGCTCCATTAAGGAACATATAATCTCTTCCCATAACCAAACCATCGCCAGAGAAATCCTAGTAAACAACACAGAAATCATCGATAGATACAGCGATAGCAGGCGGCTTGACGTTTGCGAGGCACTACACATCAAGAAGTCAACACCAGCAATCAACAGCCAATTATTACACAACTATATTCTACCCACCTCAAGACTCCGCTCCAATATAGAAGCATCAAGAAATATGGACCAATAGGCTTTCTACAAACACTTCTATTCAATACCCATTGTTTCTGTTCTGTCTTGTGTTGATACTTTTAATACCCTATTAATATCCCCTAGTGTTCTGTCTTGTGTTAATGCCACATCACCCTTCCCACCTCACTCAAATGTAATGCCACATCACCCTTCCCACCTCACTCAAATGTAGATATAAAATCAGGGAAACGCAAGTTCTAATCAGTTGTGTATTTGTGAAGTCTTTGAAAATGTAATAAGTTTTACGAAACGCGCCCGTGTCGCGTCAGACTAGAAATAAAAATGAATTTTGGAGAAGTGATTTTTGATTTACCTCCAACAGTGAAGCGTAATGTACGAAAGATTGAGAAAATTCGTGTTAGAATTATTAATCTTACTTTTTCGGTCATATTATATATATATATATATATATATATATATATATATATATATATATATATATATATATATATATATATATATATATATATATAAGCAGATTGTGAGTATTTAAGCATTGGTTAGGTTAGGTTAGGTGTTTAGGTTTTGTTGTTGATTACTTGTATTTGTAGTACGCGGGTGAGGCATTTATAGGGTTGTGGTTCGAACAAAAGTCGTCAGCGAAGCACTTGTTCCGGAAGTGTTTGGACGTCATCAGTTTGTGAGGGGTGTATGTTTGGGGGGGGGGGGGTAGTGGGCACAGGTAGAATATTAATGACTGTGGTGTATTCTGTCTCTTGCCAGGGTTCTTAAGAGTCGTGAGCAAACTGTTTTCCTTCATAAACAGGGGGGTTGGCGGTCGCATGGAATAGACTTTCGCCATTGTTTGATATACATTTAATTATTACTTCTAATCCAAGTATAGGATTAGTATGTTTAGTGATTTTTTATTAAAATATGTATGTAACTTATATTTAATTGAACCGAACACATCTATCAATTCAAACGCTAACATTTACAATAATGTTAATTTTGAAGGTAATTCTGTTTTTTTTAATCTATTCTGGTACAATAAATTAGGTTCTAGATTTAACTTATATATAAATATGGTTAAACTTATATATTTGTGCGAAGGATTTTTTCAAGGGAATTTTTTTCCAGGAATATGCCTGTGCGGGCCTAGGCCTCTGGCTGGCCCAGTAAGTGTTACTCGTGTCTGTCGTACGTATGTGGTGTATGAGTAGTTTATGATTCTTACGTTCGCATCAGTAAGATTATATCGAATGTATTTAACAACTTTTTCCGCTATGTTAAACCTAGGTAGAAATATTATTTGGTTTATAACCCGTCCCTGTGTTAGATAATGTTCCAATTGTCTGTCGTTCATTTTTCCTCAGTGCTGACATCCGCTCATCTGGAACCTATAACCCATGCACGTGGGAATCCAAGCATGATGCAATGTAAGTACACTTCTGTGTTTCTGTTGCTCCCTTTCATCAACACATCAGGTTCGTAGTTGGTTTAAATCTTCTTCCAGCACACAGATCCTAATGTTGCAATTGCTCTGTTTTGGTCTTTATACATTTACTGCATTTTTGTATCTATCATTATTTGCCTTATTTGTTCAAGCCTCGGTGATATGTAAATCTCTATATTACATCTTTCAGTTGCAAGTTTTGCAGCTTCATCTGCAATGATATTCCCTAGTATTCCTTCATGACTTAGCGTCAAGTTGATAAGTATCCGACGACCTTGACTTCTCAGTGTTTACATGAATGCTATGACAGTTGGGCGTCAGATGGATGTTGTCATCTGAGGTAGTCTGATTCTTTTTTCCTTCAAGAACCAAACTCCTAAAGTCTGCTGGCAGCTACTCCTAAGGAGCTTGAATATAGAAGTCAGTATGTATTTCGTATTGTGTTTGTACGCCACACAAACTTTATTGCTAAGTCATTTAAAAGACAATAGGACTTCTTTTAAGAGTTGAGAAGGCTGTGAAGGCGTATAAACCTTTTGGAAAAATACACAGAATTTTCTATAATAATTTGGAAAATTTTGCGACGCTTTAAACAGTATCTTCAGGGATTTTCCAGGTGATCAAGTAGCTTAGTGAAGCATGAACAGGGATTTTAAAAATTAAATTATGAAGAGAAATTAATCAGGATTTTCTGAGTATTCACATAATATTTTATCAAATTTTCTGAATTCAATATATTGTTAAATATTTACACACGCACACATACACACACACACGCACACACACACACACACACACACACACACACACACACACACACACACACACACACACACACACACACACACACACACACACACACACACACACACACACACACACACACACACACACAATGCATGCATATGCATCGTTAACTAAGTGCAGGATCCGAAGATAATGGTGATTATTTCTCGCTGTCATTCGGTCATTCATTCGGAAATTAGTCATTCTCATTAGGTCATTAGTCATTAGTCATTAGGAAACTAGTCATTCGGAAAAGACAATCTCCCCGTAAATGCTGAGGGAGACTGAAGAGGTCTTTTGCCACTCGCATTCCCCATCACCCCTCCCAGCCATTCTTCCATAGTGTGCTGGGACACGTGCTGGGACAGTGTGTGACTGACTGCAGTAGCTGCCTGTGGCGCTCAGTTCATCGCATTCAACAAGAAATCTCACAAAATTCTGAGAAAAAGGTAAAGTCAGTCTCAATATTAGAAAATAAGAGGGACCCAAGGAGCCATTATACAATGGGATCCACTGTATTACAGGAGGCATTATAATATAGAAAGCACTTTATTACAGGTGACACTATATTACAGGAGACACTACTTTAAAGGAAGCACTGTATTACAGGAAGCATTATATTTCAATAGGCACTATATTACACGAGGCATTATATCACAGGAGGTACTATATCACAGGAGGCATTATATCACAGAAGGCCCTATATTACAGGAGGCACTATATTACAGGAGGCACTATATTACAGGAGGCACTATATTACAGGAGGCACTATGTCACAGGAGGCACTATATTACAGGAGGCACTATGTCACAGGAGGCACTATGTCACAGGAGGCACTATATCACAGGAGGCACTATATCACCGGAGGCACTATATCACAAGAGGCACTATATCACAGGAGGCACTATATCACAGGAGGCACTATATCACCGGAGGCACTATATCACAGGAGGCACTATATCACAGGAGGCACTATATCACAGGAGGCACTATATCACAGGAGGCACTATATTACATAGAGCCAAGCCTCAGAGGAGGTTTCCAGGATGAGGACAGTAAGTGGGGTTCACAATAAGTCGGTCATGTCATTGTTAGTCTCTGGATAGAAACCTACTTTTGTTGTATTGTGAAATTTATGTAAAGAGGGGGAATAATCTGGAGAAAGCGCCAAGCCCTTACGATAATATAGCACTTGGAAGGTACTCAGGATAATGATTTGGGAATGGGACAGGTAGGAAGTAAATGTGCCCAACCACTTGGTCGGTCGGAGATTAATCGTCGGCCTGCATGAAGAGAGAACGTCGCTCTACCGTCCTGCCCAAGTGGTGGTATTTATGTACAAAGATTACACCACGTCTTCAGTGTCAGTCGCACCTCCACAGATCACCAGAATCAGCTATTGATACTGGTAATAGCTCCAAAGGGCCACCACTTACGGGTTATTCATGCCCGTGCCACCTTTTGGGTGGCATAATCTTCATCAATCAATCAATCACCAAGTCTTTCATACTCTCCTGAGTGCTTAGTCAAGGTCTGAGTGTGTGGGTAGGACGAGACTTATATTTCTACGTCTAATGGAGCTGCTATCCTGTTTTTGTTGTTGTTATTGTTGTTTTAGATTCAGCTACTCAGAAGAAAAAGTTCCAAGTAGGCTGGGCTATGGTGAGCCCGTAAGTGGAGGCTCTTTGGAGCCATTATTTGGATCAACAGCTGATACTGGAGATCTGGGGATGAATCGGGACCTTCATGGTGAATTCCAGCGTCGGAGGGCAGGCTGTACCACTTATGGAGCTGGTAGTTTAGTGTTAACCTCTACTGCTTCCGTTTTTTCTTTGACTGAGCAGTGCTGTCGGTGGAGTTTGGTGAGGTGGCCTCCATGAAGAGGTCTTGTACCGAGTAGGTGTCGTATTTGTGGTGTAGCGGTGGAGATCTTACTAAAATTTCCACGTCTGAAGATTCCGTAACATCCGTAGTTGGTGTTATTTCCGGAGAGTTGATTATGCTGTTAGTATCTGTAGACAGCACGTCTGCTGAGAAGGTGATGGTAGGAGTGATGGGAGCTGGAGAGGGAATTACCTCTGTTTTTGCCACCCGGGTCTTGGGTGGTTCTGGAGTCTGTGTCGAGAATGACCTCGTGGTCGTCATGATGGTAATCTCCATAGTGGTAGTGGAGGCAGTGAGACTTACGTCCAGGGCGATGATGGAGTCCAGGACCCTAGCTAGGTACAGCATGTTGAGTTCCTTGACGAATCGTTGATTGTTTGGTCCTGCAAGCCTCCCAGCTAGTCGAATAAGACCAAGGCTAATGCTGTCATGTGATGCAAGGGGGCGCGAAGGTGCCTGTGTGCTCGTGGGTCCCCATTGTGAAGGCTGGGTCACCTTGTTGGAAAAGTCACTATTTGGTAAGACTGAAAAGTCTTCTGGTCGGTTGGTGGGAGCTGAGGTGGTGGGTTGAGCACAGGGGTCGCTAAGGTAGAAGGGTTGATTCTCTTGGCTTCTACCTGGGCCTTAATGTTTTCCTGTCTACGGGAGCAGCGGTAGAAAATTGTTGGGTGATTGCCATCACAGAGTAAGCAGCGAAGGGTTGTAACCTTGCAGATGGAGTAGTGAAGGTCCATTGCGCACTGGTTGCACTTCTGGACGGGTTGCTAACACTTGTTGACGGGGTGGGAGAGCTTGTAGCACTTGAAGCTTTATTGGAGCTCATAATATCGTTCCTTTTTTACTTGGTGGGGTTGGTATTTGTAAGCCGAACCAGAAGAAACCTTGTGTGGCAGCCTGGGTGGGCGCAGCTATGGTGGTGAAAGTAATCTTCTTTGATGATTTGTCGGTGCTGCAGAAATCTAGGTTGAATACACCCAGGTTCGGATTTTCCTCCTTGAAATTGTCCATGATCTTATGTTGTGGTCGGTCAGCGATCCACTGGCTGGTTCTGCTGGTAAAAACAGTTCTTCCGGCCAGGAACTGACGAGGGAAGGGAGGATATAGGTGGTGCTCCTTGCGAAGTATTGTATCATTTGTCAAGAGTTTGTCTCGTTCTTTCTCACATGAAAAGACAAGCACGATATCATCACCTTCCTGACTAGTGTCAATGGGTGTGAGGTCGGCCACGTCCTTCAGGACCTTCAGAATATCGCTATTCCCGAAAGCATGACTTTAGATGTTTGGTTTGCATTGTGTCCACACCCTCAACGAGTCGCAGAGAGTATTCGCCTAGTTGTATTCACCTAATTGTACTTGCGGGGGTTGAGCTCTGCTCTTTCGACCCGCCTCTGAACTGTCAATACACTGTTACTAATTACTTTTTTTTGAGTGTGTGTGTGTGTGTGTGTGTGTGTGTGTGTGTGTGTGTGTGTGTGTGTGTGTGTGTGTGTGTGTGTGTGTGTGTGTGTGTGTGTGTGTGTGTGTGTGTGTGTGTGTGTGTGTGTGTGTGTGTGTGTGTGTGTGTGTGTGTGTGTGTGACCAGTCACAGTGTGTGTGACCAGTCACAGTGTGTGTGACCAGTCACAGTGTGTGTGACCAGTCACAGTGTGTGTGACCAGTCACAGTGTGTGTGACCAGTCACAGTGTGTGTGACCAGTCACAGTGTGTGTGACCAGTCACAGTGTGTGTGACCCAGGCTGCTATCCTGGGTCCAGTCCTCTTATTCTTCTTGACCTCTTGACCATGTCACCTCTTTTCCCGACTGCCAATGTACCTGCGGTAATGTCTTATATGACTGTTTACATCATTATGGTTATGTGTTTTTTCTGTAATCCTGACATTCTGAGAACTGGAGTTATTATTAATAGATGTGTTCATCTGGATGCTCTCCCTCGTAACCCTCTCCATACCCCGAGGAACGCGACTAATGGGACTACTTATATTCATCCATTTATTGAGATTTAATTTTAATTCACACAGAATCATTTTCCTAGAAAATCTATCATTCGAAATAAAGCTTTTGTTGCCAGCGAAAGCATTCATAGTATTTATTAGAACCCCCTTCCACTACCCATCTAGCTCTAATGCAATTATATTCATAGACGATTTCACACTTCTTAAAATCAATATTATAATCTTTTCCCAACTATTGTTTGCTACAGCACTGTTACCAGCCATGATTCTACATGATTTCTTATGTTCTTAAATTCTGGTCACACGTTTTCGCCTGTTTCCCCTAGGTGAAATATGAAACAGGTTCCCTCATGACACCTG